GTGACCCAAGTATCGTTACATCGGACAAAATGGCGTACAGCCTACTTAATACACCTTATTTACGTGTCGGAGAAACTACATAAAGAAAAAGCCAAACAAGCAACTTATACGGATGAAATAAGATCTTCGTCTGTCCGTCCAAAGAGGAAATGACCCCGAGGGATGAGAAACAATTTGCCGCACGCCCTTCGCGCCAAGACACAAGTCTTATATACGTCGGAATAATATTACATGACTAGAGGAAGAGTTGGTGTATATTGTAAATCGATAGAAGTCAATAGATACGAATCCGAAAAAAAAACATTCGTGGTAGCCGACAGGGTTCACGACAGCCAGCAGTTCGGTGCATCGGAAACTCAAACGCAATCTGCGGCATCTTGTACTGTAAACGTTTCTTGGTCATTAATTGGAAAGCCACATTTTATAATCATATGCCAGCAAAATACCTGTGTACCTACAATATATGTGTAATATCATTTACCCCGAAGGAAACATAACGCCGCACCGTCTGCGTTGATAACGGATAATCCACGATACCTATTTGATTAAAATGTAATTTAATTTAAGTGCTTTTTTTGGTATTTTAAATTTCATATCATTCGCCGATTTTATTTATGGCTATATTTCCCTCGCTTAAGAAACTAACCCCCAAAGCAAATTCGTGCGAGTTTTCACTTTTCAATCGTGAACAAATTATTCATCACTAGCAAAACAAACAAAACTATTATTAATATATAATATCTATCTACCATACAATAGTTTTTAAAGTTATTTAAAAAAAAATAATAAACGATCAATCATGATCATGACATGTACACATCTAACCAGCTAATTTCCTATGGCGAGACTGCGATGAGATGAATTCTGTATTGAAGCCAAAAATTCCATGCAACAGTATCTATTCGATTTATTGTAATTAACAACTTCTTAATATTGAAGAGCAACATGTTCATTATTTTTTTTAAATTAATTTATGATGTGCATGCAGTTATATATAAAAGATATTAAATACATCATTTCACCACTCAACGTATAAAACTAACATTTTTTTCATGCATAAAATAAATTTAGTTGAGAGAATTTTATTATATATAATATACATTTTCTCAAAACGAATATGAACAGCAATTTAAATAACTAACAGTTAATAGTAACATTTCGACACTTTAATTACCTACCTACTTATTTTGACTATTTTATGTTTACTTTAAATGGTAAATAAGAATAGTATACCTAACTACCATAATTTAATATGGTGTAATATACTAAATAAGAGTAATAAAATAATTTTAATTTTTGTATTACGATAATAATAAAATATCATGTGAGTACTATAAAATTGAACGTCATCACTTATTAACGTTTGAAAAGAAATACAATTTTTTATAGTAACAATTAATAATTTAGAGTTTAAATTTAGATCATTAAGATTAGGCTCATATATTTTCTAATATGTGCAACATTTGTTAAAAAGAAAATATTATGAATTTATAATCACGTTTTAACTCTATAATAATTTATAATATATATTATGGATTTAAAAAAATATATAAACTATAGATTAAAATTTATATTATTTGCACAAATCGTTAATAATTTACATTAATAATAATTAACTATAGTTATTCTTAAAATCGTATGCATTCAGTAATTATATTACTATTAAATATGATGCTGTTAATTTCTAACAAATACATATACTGAAATAACTAATAAATATGATGGTATAATCTCTTTCATGAGAAAAATAATGTTCAAACATATATTGTAACATACTACAATAAACCTTGAAATGAATTGATTAAACAATTAACGGTTTTCAATTGAATCATTTTAATTTATTAAATTCAATTAAAACAGTTACCATCCAATTTAAAAATAAACAATACGTTTAAGTTAAATACAACTAAAGTGGTTTTAATATTACTATCCTAACAATGAAATATGACTTCTATAATCCTGAAAAATTATCATTCTATATATAAAAAAAAAACAGTTATAATATTATTCTTAAATCACCATATTTATCTAAATTTATAAGACTTCTAGAAATCTGTACAAAATGTATTATTATTTGTCGTAAATAACACAAAGGTCACCTGTGTTGAAAACAAGTTTGGTTTTGATGTAAGCCGAAATTCGTATTAATAAAGACTTTGGCGATGGTATCCAAGACATGGGAAAAATGTCTTAGGTCATGACCGGCAGTGCCCGAAACGAATAATTTTTAATAACATTGACTGTTTTATACACAAATACGACACAAGAGTAGTCTTCCTTTTGTGAGCTACACAGTCCTTTCAGCTGTAATAATAATAATAATAATAATAATAATAGTAATAATAATTGCTATTATTATTATTGTTCTCGTCTCTACAAGAGGAAAAAAGCAGCCATCGATCACGTACAAACAATAAGGCTTGGTCGATACTATAACACAAGGCGTTCGTTAAAATAATGATGATAATAACAAATAAAAACCATACATGTTCACTCAATCTAGGTTTTAATCAAACCTCATTCTATTGTGCATGGAAACACAAATAGAGTTCAATATTAATTATGTTAATTCATGTTTAATACTGTTATTTTATTACTAAATCAAATGCTAATTTGTCAGACTTGATCATAGGCGGCAATAGGCATACATAAAAAAACATAATATATGAATTAAAAAAATCTATTGTAACTTATGATATTATTTAATATTAATAATTCATGATAAATGAAATGTAAAACAATATCTTTAAATGAGATTTTTAAGTAAACTAAATCTTGGTATTGGCACTATTTCAAATAATTGTGTTGGATATAGAGTCATAAAAAATTGACTACTATTCTCACTATGATATTTTATTTGTTTACCATCCAATCCACAGGAATCCGGAAACTTCAGCATATTTTATTTCCACAGATAGCGTGTCTGTAATTGACATGACTACATAAATATTTTATTAGTTCTGTTTTAACATACATAATATTTCATGATGCATAATTATTTAACATCACAAAACCAATATTATTCTGATTTTATTTCTATTTTGACAGACACTCAAAGATAGTTTGTATTCTAAAATTATAAACTTTTATAAATTATGTATATTAGATTTAATTATTATATTACATTAAAAATTAAAATCTAAAAAATATTCACTATATCTCGTTATCAAAATATATTGTATCTGATGGTATGTATTAATTTGAATCAAATAACTAAACGTCCAATATTCAATGCACTTTTGTCTTTGTACCACCAAATTTAAATCCTTCTGATAATACATTTATAGTTTTATAGTTTTAGTACAACGGTTTCCATCCTGGGGTACGTGAAAAAAAATTGACTAATGGCAGAAAATGTTAAATGTGTTTATTTAAAACGATTCATTTCGAAAATATTCAATATATATTATTGAAAATGAAAATTTGTGTCACAAATTAAAACTTAACCGTCAACTTAACTTATCTAATAGGTATGGAATATAGAATGTATTGTTATTCTTTATTTAAATATTTTAAAAATAGTTATGTAAAAAAATTTAAAAATTATAATGCGGGGTACAAATCAGTAAAGTATTAAACTTAGGAGTACAGAACGAAAAAAAGTTGATAACCGCTGTTATGGCTAGTATATAATAACGCTTCATATCTAGAATTTACGCAATCAACAGATGACCTTACTTAAATAATATGCAACGATAGTGTAAAATAAAAATGAATACTCATAATAAGTCAATCATAGGCCATCCAAAATCTATCTACGCAATATATACAATATACACCAATAGGTTTCACTCCTATTTTAATAAAACGTGTGCCGATCAACTAATTTTTGAAAATGGGCGGTGATTTGCTTCGTTGATTATAACGAAGTAAATATCGCATAATATTATTTGGTCTTTTTAGATATTCAAAATTTAGCCAAATACGTTAAATTTGTTTTGATTGATCTAAATGGATTTCAAGTCTTCTACATAAAATAATCTTTCGTTTTAACAATAAGCAAGTTTTGTATTATTGGGTATAAATATTATATACAAACACAATTACTGTATGAATAACATGAAAAAAGAAAAAGAAAAAAGTATACAGAAATACATTATATTAAATGCGTAAATGCGGTTCGATGTAATCTAGAACGGTACCTTTTTGTACAATTTAGTCGATAATAAACACGTTTTATGTACATAAAAGTGATTTATAGTGACATTTTAAATGTAATACATTGTATTATTATCATAGAAAAGCAATGAAGAGGCGTTACCATTAAAATGATGACAAAAAACAGTAAATAATCATGACCGCAACTATTTTAATTAAATTATTAGGTATGACCACAAATTATGTCTTGTCACAGCCTTTTATCGAACCCTATTATATGTTATATATATAGCCATTTATATTTTACACCCTTAGCAGTTAGCAGTACATAAACACGCAAACGTGGGAAATTGGAAACACATTTCATTGACATAGGGTCTGAATACTGAATTCTGCGGTATACTCCGTATGAGTCATGTTTTCCATTAATCGAATAAAAACATTGTTATCCACTCACACAACAGTAAGTTTTTCATCGTATAACTAACCCTTTATACAAGCCCAATGCAGAATCTTCATCAATGCACATCAAACAAACCCCTCTATTGCTCTTAGTACACGAAATAATAATAATAAATGATGCACCCACTAAAAGTGCAATGCGTGCACAAACATCATAAATCTTCAACTGGCAGAAGATATTTATCAATAATGACACGAATAGTCATTGTGAATTCAAAAACAAGTTTAAGCTACAACTTAAACTACTTATATTGCTTATATAATCGCATTTAACGTGATTTCACGACTACGATTTGTTTGAAAAATAATAACAACTTCAATATTATCTCAAGGACATGAATCAATTATTGACTTTTACTAATCGCATTCAGTTTTATATTAATAATACTATTGATTATTTCTAAATGGTTATCTTATAAGACGCAACTCATCATAAATACCTGATATTTTCTGAACGTTTCTACAACTTTTTTGAGAATTTCGCTGACTGGCACACAAAAACATCCATGAAAGTTAGCGACATCATCTTGGTATACGTTTGTCAACAGTTGTTTTGCTTGCCTCACAAGAACTGCACGTGTTTCGCTATAATTCACATAGTATGGTCCAATAAACTCGTCGACAAGTTGTTGAACAGTAAATACTTTTTGTTGAGGATCCTAGAATAAAAAAACAAAAAATGTAAACGTAATAAAATATTTTCATTAAATTTTAAATGTAGGTACACTTTTTTCAAATAATAATTGAGCATTACAATACATTTAAAAAAATATAGATAATTAAATGTTAAAAAATACAAAATGTATTTATAAGACACATTTTATCAGACGTGGGGAACTAGCTTGTGAGCTATATTAAATAATTATTGAATAATATTATAAATTATTCTAAAAAGAACATAATTTTTTGGTTGTATATTTGGGACACAAAACTGCTGCACACATGACTAAACAGTTAACGCATTTATTATGTAAGACAAGACTATATATTCACTCATTTTTTACCACTTATTTATGTCTTCTGATCACTATTATATTATTATCCAATTAAACTGTAGAAAATATTACCTCTCTGGTTTCAAAAGCGTAATCGAGTTGTTCGAATTACACTAATAACAATAATAATAAACGGGAATAAAAAATAAACACAGGGTGTATTTACATAACCAGTCTCTCGATTTCCCTTACTCAGACGCCCTTGGTTCCGACAAATAAATGGACAGCACTATTATTTTCTCACCCATCTTTTTCTTATTATTCTTCTATTTCTCCGTTTTTTACCGCGTGTGTGGTCTTGGGGTAATATTCCTTGTACAAAGACGATACGCACTCGGGTAATGTTAGTATGGGGACTGTTTAACAATAGTACTTAAATATATATATATTATATACGTGTACTTTATAACTTTATATGAAATGTATTATTCATAGAATAACATCCACAGGAAGTCGAAGATAAGAAAATAGCTATACAGCTATATAATCAAGAGATACATCTTTGTGCAAAATGCTTGCGTATTGCAACAAATTATTTAGAAACAATGAGATTTAATGATTAATTAACAAAAACTAATTTTTGTAGAATTTCTTCTTTTACAACACATGTCCAATTAAATAAAAATATCCAACACTTTAAATATCAACATAAAATTATCTTTAATCATTAGTGACGTCGATTAAACGCCCCTCCTTAAAAAATTTCAATTTAATGCAGTACGTGTCAATAATAACTTGCATAAATTTATGTTTAACGTCATAAATATTTCAAGAGTCACCAGTACCTATTAAAGATGTGAATCGTGATAATATAAGAACGATAACCAAACACTTCTCAGACTGTAATTATATCATACAATTTCAGTGTTTAAATTTTGAACTATTAAACAAAGGATGTAAGTATTAATATTACTAAACGATAAAAAAATTATAAATTATACTTATTCCAGAATACGTAATAATTATTGCAAAAAATAATTGCCTAATAGACATAGTTACAAACTTAGGTACCAATAAACTAATATCATCAAAATAATTTCAACGTAAGCTAAAGCGTATATTATTTTTAAAAGGTCGAAAATCTAGATAACCAAAATAATCGCATTCGAAAACATAGTTCTAGCTGAGCTTGCTTTTTTGTAACATTAATAAGACGTTTTTAAAATTTTAAAAACATTTCGTGATAATCTATTTATTGATCCATTCTCTCTTTTATAAAATGTATAATAATAAATTATAAGTTCAAGTGTTCAACCTGACAGTCTCGCTTTTTGTTAAGTGCATGAGCGTAATTTCACCATATCGTGCATGAAACAAACAAAGAAAACAAAATATCTATACTGCAGGCGACTCCTTAAACTACCTTTGATACACACCTCATCCTTGAGAAAGAAATTGTACCTAAGTATTTCATTGTTATAATAATTTGCAGTAACTGCAAGATTTAAATGCAAAATATCTTAAAAGCTCAACTAAAAGTGTGTCAAATTTGTATATAAATGGTAGTAAAACAAAAAAGTGATTGTAATAAAATATGAAAAAATGTAACTTAGTATCACGTTTATCCCGTTCAACAGTTCCGTTCTCACGGATGGTCAATATCAAGTATTCACATCAGGCGTAATAAAAAAAAAATTAACTTGAGGAATATCAGATGAACTATAAAGCTGGCGAAGTTCTTGTAATATTCCATTGTTATACATTGTTTTATGGGGCTATTTGTTTAATAATATTGCGCTAAATATCTCAGCCAAAGATCACTGGTTGGTGGGTTGACACAATAGTATCGATTGGCCTATAAAACGCGCTTGTCGTGTGTATTATAACCTTTAATCGACCCGGATGAATTTGGACCTATACCTAGCTCTCCCGAGATTTGGACCACGCGCGATGGTCACGAACTGCCGTATATAAACAGGCCGGAGGTCATCATTGCTTCTTGTCGGCTATATACTGTGTAATCCACGTGTTATTCTATCAATACGCGCGTAGGGGCAGATATTATAGTGGAGACTTTACTAGACACAATCATTATTGGGATCTTGGTTCGGCTGAGACAAAGACTAAGACAGCGAGATGTAATAACTCAACATTTTTTTTTTTTAGTCTGATATGATTTTAATAGCATTGTACATACGATGTTATTTTTGTGGTTGTCCGCTTGAACACTAAAACCCATCTGTCGAAATATCAAGGTTCTCCATACAGAATGACATGACCTGGGATGAGCTATAAGAGGATAACTGGATACTGGTCAAAAATATTACCTACTTAAGTACAATGTAATCCTACATGAGAACAGTGAGGAGGCCGCACCGTAAGACACTCATTATTATAATACACAGACGATATAACATTATTTTATAATGTAAAATAATCATTTAAGGTGCTTAGCCGTGTATAGATTTTGTCGGTATAATTAGAAGTTATAATTGTTTACACAATAAATGTCTCTAAAGTCTACATAAATTATCTAAATACGCATAATATTCCACGAGAAATCTGAAAATGACAACAATACTGTACGCCACCCAATCACAGATAAATATAATATTATGTACGCATGCTACAATTACAGTTTTAAAACGAGAAAATAAATATAAGATACAATATAATATAGCATTATAAACATTAGAATACTTCAAAGACGGATACGATAATATTTCATGATTGGTATACACTTTTTTTTTGATAAAAAAAATACTTGGTAGGTATTTAAAATGAAACACTCAACAACACTTCTACGCAGTATCTACAAATATAAAAATAAATGTCGACTACATTTTTAAACTTGATGAATATAACCTACGTATAACTATAATAAATTAAAAATTAATAATCGGTTAGGATGTAATCGTTTAGTTGAATAAGTACCCGTTTTTAATCAATAATTATCACGAACATCCATGCGAGTACGATCCGACGAAAGTAAACGAAATAACGAACAGAATGAAAACGATACGTATAAGTACCTACTATTATACTTGCAAGGCGGAAAAATGCGAAAACCGGTAACGCAAAATATTACGGTGCAGCGACTCATCGGCGACGCGCGTGTGAATGAATCATTCAAGAACTTCACTGGCACAGCAATGTTACGGCCGACTATGTTTAATAATAATATATACACTATACAGTATATTATTATAAATTATATTTACTTAACCTCGACGAGCATATATATATATATACTCACACACATACACAGGTACACACACACACGTTACATATTATTATACAACAACATTATTATTCAGACGACGACAGAGGCGGCGGCGGTGGCACAATCAATTATTCAAATATTAGCGACTGTTTCATTTTCTTTTTACTTTTTGCGACTGCCGCAACCAAACCGAAACGTGCGCACACGAATAGCTACAATACACTATATAGGCACGATGGTAGGTATATAATAATGTATACTGTATACCACTGCGCCCATGTTGCCGCCGTATCCGGTAGGTTTTATTTATTTACCATTATTATTATTATTTTTCCTATAATATATTTTTACAGGCGGCACACACAGTTCGCGGACGACGATAATGATAATAATAATTGTATTCAGTTTGCGCGAACCCATAAATCGGCCGAGCCGGGTGGTGTCGTGCGAGCTGCGAGCGCGTGGGAGACGAGTGATACGTCAAATCCAACGAGAGCCGACGACGACTGCGGGGGAGCGCTATGTAAGCGTACTTATATTATATAGACGTGTATAAGTACACATTTTATATATTACATGTACTATATAATATAATATACGTACTTAACTCGCGCCCGGTTGTTGCGTTACAGCCGTCAACGGCCGTGTCGTTAGTGTCTACGCAAAGTAAAAAAGAATCGACGACGATATATTATTCCAATGCGAAGGTAAATATAAAGATACCTACGCGTCACAAGTATAATAATATACCAAACATATATAGAAATATAATTATATAAAATACATGCACTAAATATATGCCTGCAAGGTGATTAGCGTATCACAAACCAGTCAGTACCTATCTGAAAAAAATATAAAAAAATTTAAATTTACAAAATATAATTGTTAAGAAAAAATTCCGATATTCATAGAAAATATTTAAAATAAAGTGCGTATTAAACTATTTTAAAATAATTAAAAACTCCTAGTTTACTCGTATTTCCTAATATATTACTTGATTTGTGGTGAAGATGATTACTATGTATACGTATAATATGTTGTAATAACTTACTAAGGCTAAGGACTTCATGCCCTAAAAAACCTCAAAGTATATGTTTGCTCAATTTAAATGACAAAATATACTCACATAATATGCATTAAAATATTATTTTAATTTTTAATTAGATTTTTAATAAATTAACTCTATAGTTATTAATCCTCAAAATTAGTTAGTATAGTATGTTACTTATTATGAATATTATTAATTATTATTTAATTAAAAAATATTCTATTAAAAAAAATATATATCAAATTATTATTATTCAAAATGATTTCATACATAAATTTTGTTATTAACAAAAACATACACAAAATCTACAATCATATCAGGAAACTAATCGAATATGCACTTGTAAGTGAAAAAGTGTCAAATTTACAAAATTCTAAATACAATTTAAAATATGATCTCATTATAATATAATAAAAAAAAAATCATTTGTACATAATTAATCTTTATTTTTAA